GATTTTTGGGGTGTGATCTGAGTGCAAAATTTCGAACTGCCATATCTCAACTGTTTCTCAATAGATTGCCTTGAAACTTGGACAGTAGAGCCTTATATACTGTGTCTAGGTGCAGCTAATATATGGGAGCCTAGTGTTCAGTTCCTGAAGTTTTGATTTTTGGGTGCCAATCTGCATGCAAAATTTCGAACTGTCATATCTCAACTATTTCTCAATGGATTGGCTTGAAACTTGGGCAGTATCATCTCATGTACTGTATCTAGATACAGCCAAATAATGGGTTTCACTTGTTAAATTTTCACGTTTTGGGGTGCTGACCAACCCCAAGCACGATAGGATATCTCTACACATGACTATTTACAGCTGTAGCATGCAACCACAGCAAGAAAAATACAGTGAGACAGACGGAAAACATCACTGGTGGGACGATAGCAGGTCTCCGGACTGTAGCGTGCCAGGTCAGGCATGCGGAGTCCGTGGGGCTTGATCCGAGGGCAGGTAGGAGCGGAAGGGAGCAGGGGAGAGCAAGGTCATGCCCCAGAATGCAACGCACACGCGCGCGTGTGAGAGGGTGTGTGTGTGTTCTCGAGGGAATGGTTCACACAGGCAGACAAGATGTTTTAACGCAGAGGCAAAAGCTCCCTCCTATTCGAGACTGTAGCTACTAGCCTTAAATACTGTAGAAGAAAGGTGGGGTGAGAACTAGGTAATCAAAAACATGGATGAGAAGACAATGGCATAAGAATCCTACTGCTCCAACTGCGAGTCCGTGAGCACGGGGCGGTGCGGTGAGGACGACAGGGTGAGGCGCTGTGGGCAGCGAGCCCTCAGATCGAGTGGCAATGACGTCTGTGCGTGCGTCATCCGAGTCTGTACATATGTGCGTGGCGGGGGTGAGGACGATGCTTGAGAGACGATGATGAAAGGAGCGAGAGTGGTATTGAAAGGGAGTCAACAATGGGCGAGAGCGATATGACAAAAGGGTGGGGAGCATGAAGCAGACAAAGATACTAGTGGTGCAGGGGATGGATGTAGATGAGGGAGCGCGAGGCGTGGGTGAAGTTGGAGGCGATCGAGCTGAGGTGTCATCACTGTTCCTGGGCATAGAGTGGGCGATGCGAGGGAATGACGTTGAGAGGAGCACGCGAGAGGTAAGTGAAAAGAGGGAAAGGAATGACAATAGTTGGAGGGATGATAGGAGGGGAAGAGAGACGAGAGACAAAGGGAAAGGAAGATGCGTGGGCGAGGGACATGAGGGAGGTGGGGGAAAGTGCAAGTCATGTGAGTTTCCCGGTCAGCAGGCTCAGACACCTTACAGGACTGCTTAGAGGAGGTTTTGCATACCGTCAGGGAATTTGAGGATGCGGGGTGCCATGGCATCTGATGGACCCTCCATTTTTTGGATGGTCAATGTCTTGACCTGGGGTCTAGAGAAGGCAACCTTGTGCGACTTTGCGGTTCACTTGCTTTGCCACTCTCCTGCAACGGTGGCATAAGAATGAAATAAGCTGAAAGGGTGTTTGCATTGACTTGCCTTGGCAGCCCGTTGAATGGCAACATCAGCCAACCCATGCAGTACCTCCCAGGGTGCCATGAGGCCGGAAGCTGGGAGCCCACCACCATCGTCGTCCTCGTCTGATGAGTCTGTGCTCATTGTAGTTGATATTGGGAAGGGCCTCTTTAGAAGGGCACACTTGGGTTCATGGAGCCGGACAAGGACTGGCCTTGCTCGACTCAGGGTGACACTGGGGCATGAAGGAATCGAGCGGGGGCGAGAGGGGGGGTTCTGTATCCAAGTTTTCAGTGGACGCTTTGCCTTGAGGTCGAGGTTGGGAGGTGGCATGATGATGCGCTCTCACGTCCGGCGCCGGGACCACCAGCGGCAACAAGCATGGAGCTGCAGCAACTGCTTGTGGGATCAACAGGAGAATGATTTATAACTTGAGTCAGCGTAGTTTGCGGCTGTCAGGGAGGGATGGTGAGGATGCATGCATATGATTTGGTGTATGTTTTCCACGTTCCTTGGCTTGAAATCTCCGCGGAGGCTCAGGCGAGGTGACACACTCATTTGGGTGCCTATGGGCGATATTGGAAGGCTCCATGACCTTGTGAGAGTGCAAGTGGAAGAGGTGCAAGCAGAAGATGGTGGCGAGGGGGGATGATCGTAGTATGGAGGAAGGCCCATGACTGGGGATGAACAAGTTACCTGTGAGATTCATTAACTCAGTAGTGATTGCTAGTGCATGCTCTGTCAGAGGATCTAGAGTGGAACCTGTCCATGTTGCGAACAATATTGTTACTGCAAGTAACACATGGCATCTATTAGACCCTCCACATAGAGGCAAAGACAAGAGATGTAGTTGCCTACTTCAAGACAAACTGACCAATGATGTTGGCTGGGCTGATCGGCAATACTCCCTTCTTTGTTTGGTGATACATTGATTGAGGTAAGATGTGGGTTTCATCAGAGGAGTATCCTTGGATGGCCTTGAGGGAAAGTAGCTGCATGGCGATCCGTTGATGCTGTCGCCTGCAGAGGAAACATCATCTGCATGGTGCTGTTGTTGACCAGCAAGTCAATTTGTGCATTTGAAATCACGACAAAGAGCTGGTTACCCATCCATATAGAGAAGAGTGTCCCATATATCCTTGACCAGGCTCATAGAGTGTGCTCAGGATAAGAGCGAAGGAAGTAGTAACGAAGGAGCGGGCTGGGAGGGATCATATGGATATGGCAGGTCTGAAATTTTGCATGCAGATCGGCACCCAAAAATCAAAATTTCAGGAAATAAACATTAGGCTCCCATATTTTAGCTGCACCTAGACACAGTATATAAGGTTCTACTCTCCAAGTTTCAAGGCAATCTATTGAGAAACGGTTGAGATATGGCAGTTCAAAATTTTGCACTCAGATCACACCCAAAAATCGAAACTTCAAGAACTAAGAATTAGACCCCAGCTCTTGGGCTGCACCTAGATACAGTACATGAGATCCCATTGTCAAAGTTTCAAGTCAATTGATTGAGAAACAGTTGAGATATGGCAGTTCAAAGTTTTGCACCCATGTCAGCACCTGAAAATCGACATTTTTATATTATGCTCCCATATTTTAGCTGCACCTAGATACAGTATATAAGGTTCTACTGTCAAAGTTTCAAGGCAATCTGTTAAGAAGCTGTTGAGATATAGCAGTTTTGATTTTGCACTTGAAATGACATCCAAAAATGGCAAGTGCAAGGTCACGTGAAAATGACAGTAATTAGTTTAGGGCCAGTCATTTGGGGACTTGGGGTATTTGACAATGGAGTAGTGTTGCCTATAAGGTCCCTTATACAGTTCTATTAGGGTCCTTAGAGTCAACCCTAATGTCCATATTAAGGTCCTTAGTATCACCTTATAGTTCATTCTAAGGCTATTAGAGTTAGTCTAATAATGGGTTCTAGGGCCCATAGTATCTTCATTAGCATCCAATGTAGGGAACTTGAGGTCATCCTAAAGGGTCTTTAGGGAGTCTTTAATATTGTCTTTTATTGCTAGAAGGGTTGCCACCAAGTAGGGCTTGCTCTATGTCAATTGTGCCTAGAATCAATTGCATGACAATGTGCACGCAATATTGTGGACACCTCTACTCACCCCTTTTGGTTGTGTGAACAGGGTGGCATCATAGAGGCCAGGTTTCCTCTAATAAGGAAGGGTCCTTCAAGAGCCCTCTCCGGGAAATGGTTCATGACACAAGTGACCTCTGTGGTGCTGATGGGATGAATGAGTGAATGTATCCAGTCTACTCTGTGCTTCCAAGTCCAAGGTTATGCTTGCCACAATACCATTTTTGTCATCTTGGATGATTCTCTGCCCCAAATGAAGGGGATGGAAATTGGACATGTCCTCCTATTCTTCTCCTTTCACTACTGTCAAAAGGACTATCCCTGTGCATTGATCAATTGGCTCATCCACACTGATTGGCTGGGTGACAACACTGAGTTGTGAATGGTTGCGTTGGAATGTGATCAGAATGGTCATCCCATGGTGCAAGTTGTTACCACCAACACAATCACTCATGCAGCTCATCTTCTGCCTATCTATGGCTCCTCAAGGGTTCCTGACAAATTTAGCCATCATGAAGCATTGGACCAGTACAGATATTTCTTTGTCAAACATTTTATTGGTCATCATGCACATGAGTTTATTACAACCCACTAGTTACATGAATTACATAGTTGATTCTACTAGTAATTACTATGTATATTTTTTTGTATTCAGAAGAGGTCTACCAGGTTTCCCAGTCTCTGGGTTTTTAGTTTCTGAGAACTGGGAAACCAGTGGAAACCAATAAACACCCAGATTTTCTTTTTGTGGTTTGCTGATGTTGTACATAGTCACAGTCATTACTTAGCTCAACTAACAAATACAGTCTTTTGCATACAAGACTGAGTCATGGTCCTTACAGCTCCAACACCTCAATGATCTACATGTGTCATTTAGAAGATTAATTGATCCAGAAGTAGAAATGGCCCAAATGGGATGGCAACAACTCTTGCTGAGCCAAGCCAAGCCATCATAGCACTCTTTCTGCTGCATCAACTCATCAGGGGATCAGAAAACCATCCTGGAACTTGTTCCACCACAGCAGTGGCTACATTGCTCTTCTGCCATTTAACCCTCTTTCATGTCCACCTCCATCACATCCCCATCATCATCATCAACCATAAGCTCCACCGCTGCCTTTTCCTTTTCCACCTGCTTTTTCCAATGTTCCACCTCCTTTGTGCATTGCTTCTCCTCCTGCACATCCAAGGTCTCTTTCACAGTCAACTCCATCAGCTCTTGCTGTTGCAAAATGCAACCACAGATAGAGGGACCACAGAGGGGGTGCTTAGTCATTGCCACCCTCTTGGGTCCAACTTGTGGGTTCAACACTATGTGAACCAACCTGGGGGCCTCAGAGGAGGGGGTTGACATGTGCTCACATGATTCCCTATATCCTGGTGCAATTAAGAAAATGGCCAGACTGGGGGTTGAACCCAGGACCTCCCAGATAAATACCAGGTGCTCTAAACACTGAACTACCTAGCCTTGGGTACAGTAAAGTGGATTAATCTATATGACAGATTGTATATCCAACACTTGCTGCATGCTGACCAGACTAAATGAGGGTGCATTGGTTGACTTTCCATCTGCATATGTGAGTGCATCCACATGAATGGAGAGCACCAACTTTGTTGCAACCATACACACCATCTGCTGCATAGGTTAGGTTGCCAGTGGTATCCAAACACAATAGGAAAAGGAACCTGCTTGTTTTCCTTCAACTGGGGTGATGCTCAGCCAACAAGTGAGGTGTGGTAAATCAATCCATATTTTGCTATCAAGAATGAGAAAAAATCCCAGAAGAGGTATGCCTACAAGCCTGGTAAGCTGTCCAGGAACACATGGCACACAAATTTGTATGTCATTCATTCAAGTCCACTGGCACAATCAGGGTCAGTCATGAGTTGGAGCTCCTTGCCAGAAATTTCTTGCAGGGCAGCCATCAAGAACAACTGTCTATTTCTGCATGGCATGCCACATGTCCACAATTGAGCTCATTGGATGGATTAGGAACTCAAGAATGAAAGAAACATGGTGCACCCTCATTTGGATCAACATCATCCTCTGCCCCTGCCTCACCCCAGTTTTGCTGCCATTCCTTCAATTGATTGTTGACAGTTCTGAAGTAAGCTTTCAGCTCTGGGTCAATGTAGCCAAATGGTGCTTCCAGATTTCAGGTGTTTGAGTTGGAACCCATGGAAGAAAGAATCCACAAGGGCCTAGTCAATGGAATATTGTCTTGTGATTGCTGCCCCAGCACAAGGGTGACAGGATTTTTATGCTTCTCTCCTCTCTTCCTGATTTCCTTGGGCATAGCTACAGCACAAGATGCACTGGCCTGGGATGATTGCCCTCCACTACTCTATACATTGATGTGATTCTCGACCAACCCTCCTCTCTCACTATTCCTTCATGCTCAAGTACATATACAACCATTCTTCTAGTTGTTCAACAATGGGAGCTGATACAACTGCATCATCCTCAGCCACGTCAGCATTTCGTGATGGTAGCTCATGAGATAATAAACTCAGGTGTGAGCTGCAAGATGGTCATCTTGTTTTGTTTACAAGGTCTCAGGAGTGTATGTCAGATTGGCGATCTATGTAACTTACTTGTGATATGTTGAGAGTACAAGTCCAAGGTTGTCCTACATCCAACACATGCATGCAACCTATTCTGGTAGTGAAGAGTGTGTACATTATTATAATCACCATGACTTCATGCTGATGCATGGCAGTAACAACTTACTAATTGTGAAGGAGTTGAGGCAATATCAGAAAAGAAGGACTAGTGGCAGGAATTGGAAACGTTCCAAAACAGAAAGTGAGCTATGAGTGTGATGCATTTGAATTTGGGTTGGTTGAATCATTGGAGCTATGAGGGATGTGATCAGTCTTGTCATGTGTACAAAAGGCTGAATATTGGTTAGTAAGCTAACCTATAAAGGATATGACTATGTATGGGCAAGTGTAGTACCAAAGGGTACCCATTAGTTAGCTGAAGTAAGCTACCTATAAGTTGGTCAGTCACACATAGTCATGTGAAATGTACTGAAATATTTGAAGCACCAAGTGTGTTGTGATCTACCCCCTTGTCAGTCCATCCATAATTCCTTTTGTTATTATTCTCTTGTCGCCCTCGTCCCCTTGGTTATCGTTTCATCCCTTGATGCTGATGGCCACTTATTGTGTTTCAGTTATTGTGTTTCACCTATTGTGTTTCACTTATTGTGTTTCATTCATTGTCGAGTCACTTTTACTATTGGCTCATCTTTATCTATTGTTCTGCTTATGGTACTGTACAGCCTTGCTACATACAGTATTTAAGCGCCTGTAGAAGCTGGGGAATGCCCCAAGCTTAGCTTTGTCCCATTTCCTGTCGCATCCCTTGCCCTGTACTCTCTATCAATCATAACTTGCTTGTGCTGGCCTATACTCTGCTTGACCTTAGCACACCTCAAGGAACCTTTGTGTTCCTCTTCCTCCTCTGCCTCTCTATCATCGTCCTCCTCTTCTGTGAAACCAGGAGATCGACTCTGTCTGTGGACTGAGTCATTGTCTGACTCAGCCTTGAGATGCTAAACCTTTGATCTGGTCTCTTTGAGCCGGCCCCACTGAACCCTTGAACCAAGTCACAGGGACTTGGCCCCATTGAACCTTGAGCTAACGCTCTTACGGCCGCAACGCCGTAACAAAGTGAATGTTACATTGCTATGATCAAATGTGTGGTGTGGGAGAGATTTCAGGGGTAACACAAACACATGTGATCAGCCAAGGATGCCAATTTGAAGCTCCAACTCAAACCACTCAAACTCTAACACATTGTGCATGACATCCTCTCCAAAATCCAAGAAAGGGGAAATCATCAAATGGGGGTCTTTTGACACAAAAACAAAAGTGTGGACTCCCAAACAGCACTTTCACCCTCAGGTTGAAAGAAATTTCAATCCTTTCTTTATTGTTTGTATGCATACTCATTCTGACCAACTTATAGGTAGTTTACTTCAGCTGACCAACTAATGGGTACCCTACAGTACTGACCTGAGTCTTGTGTATGAGAAAAAACGAATGACCACATACCATTCGGGTTTGTCCGTTGTCACGCCATCTCGGAGCTGCACCCAGAACATGAATGTTTAGGGTTATTCTTCCTCTCTTCCGCCTCCCACGCCGCACTGTTCTCCATCGCCCTCTTCCTCGCCTCACTCGCCTCACTCGCCAACCTCTCCCTCGCCTCACTCGCCTCACTCGCCAACCTCGCCCTCGCCTCAATCGCCTCCCTCGCCCTCGCCCTCGCCTCACTCGCGAACATCGCACTCACCTCATTCGCGTCGCTCACCACCCTTCTCACCCGCCTCTGAAACATGAGATAATTTTCCGACGGATGTCTGCGAGGTAAAGACAATTTCAGGAGAGAAGGAGAACCCGAAGGAAATCGGCGTACTCTGAAGGAAGCGCGAACGACGGAGCAATGCCAACGGGTAGACAGAATATGGCAAAAACAGAGATGCGCATTGTGAGTTATGAGAGTACGGGTTCTTAAAATGTTGTTCAAGTGGCCCAACTATGAACAAGATAGCGGCGTAGAAATCTTGGAACTGGTACCTGCCAGTATGTGGTGAAGTGGGAGCACAGCTTGTGGTTGTTGTAACTGCAGGCGTTGGCTTTATACTGTGGCGAGTGCGAGTCCTCCCCTCTGTCCTCTGTCCACAGATCATCGGATCAGGAGGCCCAGGGCTATGAATCCGTCCATCACATCATGCTTCGGTGTCGTGTGAGACTTTTCTTAGGCCTTTTCGTCTCCTCCAACGGCAGGCAATTTGTCATCATGTCCGTCGTCACCTCATGCCTGTATCTCATCTCCTATGCAGTGTACTGATATCGACCAATTACACAAGTGAATGTGTTACGAATTCCCATCTACATATTCAATATATGCCTACTGCGAGCGAACAAGCGCGACCAATAATCATCGTAACCGGTGCAAACAAGTGCGTAACATCTCTTCCACCAACGGGTTCACCACGCAGCTGATCCCCACACGGACAGTGGCATAGGCTTCGCTTCGGGATCTGTCGTCGTCTCCTCTACGGGTTTGCCCAAACCAGCCCAGACGATGCGCTCCCGGCATTCCCACACTCGGGCGGGACGAACAGGGCATTAAATATCCCTGCGCAGGCCTGACCCTCATCATGGCTTGTCGCAGTCGTCAGCGGGCGGAGGCCGCGCGCACACAGTTGCTCGAGCTTTTTGAGAGTAACATGGCATGTTTGAGAGGGGCCACCAGTAGTCTTTGACATTTAGCAGTGGGTTGAATTACCATAAAAGGTGATTGTGTTGGCAAGAGAATTGGGACTTCAATCACATGTTAACGGATGTAATTTAGTTATATAATTCAGTTAATAATAAGATAACTCCTTACCATTTTCCCCTACCAAAAAAAAAAAAAAAATGCAATCTCATTTCTGATTGATTGGTGTGCCATCCACATCATCTGCCCATTCTGGCCCAAGCACCCCTTTTGCAACACAATGTTTTCAGATCACTGCCATTTCTGGAAAGAAGGGAGGACTCAATTATGACCAGGAGCATGGTGGATACCCCATGGAATGGCCGTCAGCAGCCAATTTCAATGTGTGGCACTGGCAAGGAGAACTGGCTCACTCAATTGAATTGATTACATCCAGCACCAAGCATGGGCAGGGATGGACAAAGAAGGTTTTCATCTGCTCCTGCCAGCTATCTGGGGTAGCTTCGAGTTATGTAAAGAAGCACCCCAATTGCACATGGAGATCCGAGATCAAGAAGACAGGTTGCCATTGCCAAATAGTCATCAAATCTTATGCAGATGCGCCTACCATTCTTGGACAATATGCAAACAAGCATGACCATGAAATTGGAATTGCTAATCTCACTTACACATGAATGTCATGTGTAGCATGTGATAAAATTAAATTCATGCTGTCAAAGAAGGTTGATCCATGGGAAATAGTAAGTGCCTGTATTGAATTTATTTTATTTTTATTCACTAACTTATTGCTGTTTTCAGTGCACTTGGTGGAGCTTGAATTCCACCCAAATCAGCTCAGAAAACCCCCTCAAATGTGTGGGATGAATATCTCCTTCAAAACAGCTTCAATTCATATAAAACTTATTGTCCCTGAATTGCCTGAATGAGGGCTAGGCAGCCCCATTGTTTTCATGAGATTTGAGTGAGAATTGGTGGAGCTGGACTCAAGCCACCTCCACATGTGTATTAGATGAATTACAACTCAAAATTGTGGTCTATATCTATTATTTTTCCCTCATGTTGTACCCATGGGCCGTCTTGAGGCAGCCCCATAGTGTTTTTGACTCAAGTGTTGTGGTGTGCAACATTGTTTCCAGTGCAATCAGAGTTGCAGTCAGCCACTCATCACCCCTCTTGCCTCTCCATTCTGACCATCCTTCACCCTCATTCCCACCATGCCCACTGTCTCAGCCACA